AATTTAATTTAAATACTAATAATTTTTAAAATAGATAATACAGATCATTATACAACTTTTCAACATGTTTATGGAATAAAAACTACTGAAGAATTTAGACCAACATATATGCAATTACAGGCAAATGCAGAGTTAATTTCAAAAGTATTTTAGTTAGAGGAAAAATTCACAATTATATTAGCTGTGAATATTGTCAAAAATGTCATTATGTATACAACAATAAAGTTTTAAATGACGAGGAACAATATGACTATTAACAAGCATTAAAATCATATTCATACTCTTGTGGTGTACCAATTTTTCCTGATGATTATTACTTAAAAGAAACAGTATTTGTATGTATACAAATTAATTGTGATTCACTAATTGAATATTATATTACTCAAGTCATAAATCAGGAAATTATCCAATCTGTTTTTATTATAAAGAAAAAGAAGATTTGATAACATCTTCTCAATTATTGAAAGAACGTTTTAAACAAATATATCCATTATGTGAAGTATGTTATAAAAATAAAAAAGACTTCCATACTAAAGAAGAGATTAAAACTAGTAAACGTGTTTCAAAAAAAATGTAAAATATAGATTTATAAAATAAAAGTCATTATATATTATAATATTATATAACCAATAAAATTATAGCATTTTAACACGTGATTATATTATATATTTTTTTTTTATTCTCTTCCTCCCTCTTTATTATCATTTCCTATATTATGTTAAACATAGAATTAAATTGGTATGGCCTTAGCAAGATTGATGAATTACTAATTAAATTTTATTTTGATAAACATAATTATTTTATAATAAATATTAAATTGTTGTAATTATTTTGATATCATCAAAATTAATTAGCATCAAAGTATAGTAAAAACTTGTCTAATTTAAGCCATTCTATTATATAATCAATAAAAAATTTTTGAATTCAACAATTTCTTGACATTAAATCATTAATATATTTTTTTTTTTGTAAAAAATGGCTTTGAAATATTACATCATGCTGTAAAATTATATTAATCTATTAAACTGCTGCTTTTTAATTTGTAAATTTTGTAAAACGTGTCATCATATAAAGTAATATTTTATACCAACAATGTTTCGATTTAACAATATTATGTATTTGTGAAACAAGATAACAAGAAGACAATACAAGAGAACTACTTTTACTAGTTCAAAAATATCATCTTCTAGTTCATTTAGTTTATTATTAAAAGAATTATCTATCTCCTCTATTATTAGTAATAATAAAACATAGTTTACATCTTGTTTAATTGACATGATTGGTTAAAATTTTAAAATGAAACAGACCAATTCTTACCCAATTTTTTAATAGGCCTATTTATTTCTGATCGTTCAGATTTTTGATCGCAAAATCCATTAACCAATCCTAAAATTAAAAATTGAGAACAAACTTTATTTCAATAAAATTATTTGAACTTTTTTATTTTTAATAACGGCACATTTTTTTTTTGTAAAATGACATACCGACAAAATAGTTTTATTGTTGAGGAAGCTCCTTTTGTTGAAATAGGGGAAGTAGTTTTGGTTGTTGCTGTCGAGAAAGAGGGGTTATTGTTATCTCAAGGTTCACGTTTATTTGAAGTATTTAAACCATGTTCTAAAACCAAAAAAAAAAATCCAAAAAAAAATTAACGCGTTTTTTACATTTGATATGGCTTCAAAAAAAACCACGTGTTTAGTTCACACAAACTCTTCAGCCAATGATTATTAATTCAAAACCCGATCAAAAATCCGAACGATCAGAAGTGAACAGGCCTAATGTGATTCTTCAACCGTGATCTTTATCTCTGCTCTCTGAACAATGTAAAGAAAATAAGCGGCAAATGTTTAGCAAAAATTTCGAACTTTAGGAGAGAAATAAATAACGCAATACTCTGTTCACATTCAAAAAATTCGTTGCTTAATGCGACTTTATTCTTGTTTGGGATCGATTATAAATACTTGATTTTTTACAAAGCAGATAAAAAAAAGTGATTAATAGGATCACTCATTACTTTTATCGATCCAAAAATCGAATTTGGACATCAATCAAATAAAATTTATGACATCATGGAAGGAGTCATTTATTAAAATGGGAAACTTCGTTATAACGTAACAACTACGACTTATACTCTTTCCTTCCTTCATTATGACGACATTTTACGAAAAGAACGGGGAATGCATGGATCAAAAAATAACATGCAAGTTGATCCTAGCGTGGTTCAGTTATAGGATTGAAGGTCAACGTTCCAGTAGTCCATGACGACAAATGAAACAGCGTAATTACCCGAAAAGACGCTATCGTCGAAAATAATGAAAAATTATGTACATTTGGGTCTAATACAGACACTTAGCTATTTTAAATTTAAATTTAATACTTCTAGATCTATGTTTTGGTGAGAATAGGTTTGAATGCGATGAACGATATCTGCCACATCATTGGATTATGGTACGATCTTTTCTTACAAGCCTACAATAAGATCATAAAAAATTCTATAACTTTGGTGGGTTGTATAATCAAATAACGAAAAACCAAGCAATTAAGGAACGAGTTTCTTTTTAGTTGAAAATTATTGGGATGACAGTAAAAGATATAATGGTATTATTTAACTATAAAAAGCACGAAACAAATAGTGTTATTCAAAAAGATAACCTGAACAGAGGGTGCACCTGCATCAGCACTTTCTAAGCAATTTGAGGATGCTCTCAAGCTATTACACCTAGCTCCTAATCAGGCGCAAGACTTTCCGAGAGCATTCGAAAGATGCGCAGAATGGGTTTATAGAAGGAACCAATCTTTTAATCTAATAAAGATACACAGCTATTTTATTGAACGATCAATTTCGTGCAGTTTTTTTTAACAATTTTTTGTTATCCTTTGGCGTAATTTCTAAATAATTGGTAATAATCGAAAGAAAATATTTCATAAAAAAAAAATTTAAGAATTTCTGCTGTAAATGTGAATCAATAATAAAAGGATCCATGCTCAAGGTCCCCTTTCCAACATTTCAAAGGCTTTTTCAAAGTATTCACCAGCCTTTGTATCTTTATAAACTTTACGAAATGTTTCAAAAATAAGTTTGTCCTGTTCGGACTCGGACAATACTTCTTGTGACGCATCGGATAAATCATCATAGTTTTCATTCTCCGAATCATATTCAATTTGACTATCCGGTAATAATGAAATTGCTTCTATTCCCTTATTAAATAAATCCCAAAAAGCCATTTCATGTTTATAACGTTTAGTCATAAAATCGTCTGTGTCTTTGGTTTCATTGACTCGAACATCACGATAAGATATTTTTGCGGTATTACTTAGTGGTATGATTTCATCTTTATTGTTTTCTTTAATAAAAATGGCAGCTTCGTCTTTGCTGACCACTTTCTTCACGTGAACATCGTTCTTATCTTTGACTTTCCCTTTAAAGAAAAGAAAATATGTTAGAATATAACATATAATGTATAATAGCAAGGATATTCTTTTAATATATTTTGTTATTAATTAAATTCAAAGATCTATTTAACTGCAATCCACGCTAAATTTTCAACAGAGAAAAGAATTATGGTAACATACCTAAATTCAATTCTTCATTCTCATCATACAATGTATAATCATCGGTGTCAGAGTCCAAAACGAAATCATTATGTTTGATAATCAAATGTCGGATTAGCGTATCAGGGGAATCAAATCGCGAACCATTGCAAATTGGGCACTAAATATTAAAAACAAGGTCATTTCAGTCAACCTTGTGCTTACAAACAAATATACAGGTAAAATATTTTTTGGGATTACATTAAATGGTCTTTGTTGAGTGTGTCTACGTAAATGCTCTGCAAGATACAATAATAATAATATTATTTTTACAGTATCGGTTGAAGCTAGCAAAGCCAAAAAGTACTTGACATATTTTTATACCTTCTAATTTAATAATATCACTTTGTTGTTTATTGCAACCTTCCCACGGACATATATAAAATGGGTCTCTTAAACATGATTTGTTGCAAGAATTGATGTCGTGCTCAGCGATATGCTTTCTAAGTTTCTCCTGGGTTTCAAAGTGCTGTGGTTCTGAATGAGTATCCCATTTGCAGACGAATGGCTTTACATTAGCACTTTCAGACATAGTAGTATGGTAATGTTCGATTATACAAACAATCGGGATAAAAATGTGACGTTTTTATTACATATTTATATTAATGTTAAAAAAAAAAAGATAACAATTAAAGATTTAAGGAAACAGAAACTGTTGTAAAAAGGAGTTAATAAAGTTTTACACTAATTACAGAAATGGTAAATTATCGTGACCAGTTTCCCACAAAACAGAGAGCAATACCATGGAAAGTTACTATTTTTGAAATACACACTTATCGACTCAAACGTCAAGGCGTTCCCGGTTACACAAAATTTTATGCCCACGATAAAATGGTAAGGTCATGTAATTCGAGTCGATCCGGAAATTTATAATTGAAAAGTTATGTTAAAAAAAAAAATTATCTTTCATATTAATTTTACTAGACTTTTACTTTTAGCTTCTTTATGTTTATTTTATTCAATATAGAAATTTAGTCAACTCTATGGTAGATATTATTACTTTTATAATGCAAAAGCTTTAATATTACTAAATATTATTGCTTATTTCATAAAAGTGATGAGTTATACAAATTTTTTAAAATGAATTGGATAATATATAGTATAAATCATTTTCTTATATAGATACGTTTACTTTTGTAGAGTTATATTGTGTAGAATTATTAATTCAGAATGAATTGTAGGACTATATATATACAGGGTCTAATATTACACATATGTCTGTCTGTCTGCCCGTTCAATAATTAAATTGATACTGGTTAGTCTTTACAATTACACTAAAGTCTAAATAAAAGCAAATACTAGTAGATTGTTTCAGATTTAATAACAATTCCTATTTTTTAGTATACTTTAGATTAATAAAATAAACTATTTAAAGTAATAATAACTTAAATATTAATATATTATTTGTTTTTAGCTTATTAATTAAAAAATAGATTTAATATATAAATAAAGTTATAGATTTATAAAGAATTATAATTTAAAAATTTAATTATATTAATAATTATTAATTTATGAAGAAAAATAAAATTTTAGGTTTTAAATTATAAGTTAAAAATAAAATTTAATAAATTAATCAGATTAATATAATTTAATAAATCATATTTATAAATTTATTAAATTATAAAATTTTTAACTATTTTAATATACTTTTATAAAATGGTTTGAAATAGTCTGTTAAAAATTTTTTATTTTATTTATATAAAAATTTTAATTTATTTTAAATTAAAGATAAAATAAAAATAAAAGAAATTATAGAATATTATAAATTTTATAATTTTATTAATAAAATAAACTATTATAAAATTTTATTATTATAATTTTATTAATTAAATTATTATTTAAAGATAGATATTACAATTAAAAATGATACAATTGAGTTGTAATTTGTAATATAATTAAATTTTCTTATAGTATAATTAAGTTACAACTTAATTGAAATTTGAAAATAATTTATGAAAATCATTTTTATTATTATTATTTTTATAATTTAGCTAGTTTTTATAATTTAAAACATCACTAATAATAATTTATACAGATTATCTTTTTAATAATATCTTTTAGTTATTAGTTTAATAAAATTATACATATATTTATTAAAAAAATTTTAATAATATTATTTTTATTAAAATTTAATTATTAGATTATAAGTTATTTAATTTAATAATATTTAATAATATTGTTAATATATAATATTTTCAGATTACAATTATTAGATGTAATATTAGAGGGTTAACTCTTTTAAATTTACATAGTAAAATCTATATTTTACAAGTTAATCAAGGTTCTTTATATACTAAAAAATATATTTAAACCTATAATGAATATATAATTTATTTGCTATATACTATTAAATATATTCAATATACTATTAAGTATATTTTTATATATTAAACAAATATTAATTACATTATTAATATAAAGTATTATAAAGAAGTTTCAGGTAATTAAAAAAGGTTTATTAATAAATAAACAAACTAAAAGATAAAAATACTAAAATAAGAAAATACAAAAAGAAAAATTAATCACAAGTAGAAAAAATAATCTTGCGCTATTTTATAAAAGAAAAGTTATATATAACTATCACTAAATAAATTATATTGCATATAGTAATTAATAGTTATCTTTTTTTATTAAATTTAATTCTCTATATATACATTTAATACTATATTAAATATATTAACTATATTAACTATATTAACAAGCTTTACTTACTAATAAAAAAATGTTCAGCTTAAGATTTTATAATAAAATAATATATTTTAACTAAAAAGTAAAAAATAAAAAACATGAAGTTAAATTAATATAAAGAAAGACTAACTTCCTAATTTTTTAGTATTTTAAATTATATTTAAATCCAAATTGACAGAAAAGAAGAATACTTTTTATATTTTAATTTTTTGAGTGTATAATTCTTTAATCAAAAGCATTTGAAAATAAAAATTTTTTGAAAGTTATTTATTAAAAATAATTCAAAAAAACTTTCTGCTATTTTTTTCATTAAGAACTATATTTAAAATTTACATAATTTGTAAATAAAATAGGTAAGATTATTAAATAAATTAATAATCTTAATTTATTTTAAAAGCTTTAATATATTTTAATATATTTATATAAAATAGAAGTTCTAAATTATGTCACAAATATTTAATTTAAATAAGCTTTATTGTATTGATTAAATTCTCTATACTTACTATGTTTATGATCCTT